TGAGCTGAAAAGGAATGATGCTTCTAAAGATGATAACAATGATATTTTCACCGTGACCCTAAGTACTTAAATAATGTTTTAAAGAGCTATACCTTTTACTGGCGCAAGAATCTTTCATTTGGAACAGATATAAATTACGCTAAGTTCACATATGCGGTGCAGTTTGGCGTACTAGGTTAATCAAGACATTCTGCGACTAATGACCTTTTCTGGCAAAACTTGGAGGTTGGGTGAGATGCTGCATTTGAAAATAGCTTACAGGTTCGCGTTGCTTGTAGCAGACAAGGAAGATATTCCTTACTGAGTTACTGGCATCAAAGCAGCAAACTCTTTACACAACCGAACCACTATCCGCTAATTTCTATCTATTAGGCTGCCGGATAATTTCGTGCGGCTTTTTTCATGCCTGTAGCAAAACCCGAAACGCAATAGTTGTAGTACGGATTCATAGACCATTAGAAAGAATAGATCTTCTTCTACAAGAAAATCGCTTGATAATTTAAACCGGCACACTTCAACTAAATCAAAAATAATTAACGTAAATGTTATGGAGAACAAAAATGAATCACTCCGGCAGTTGCCTCTTCAAAAACCCCAAAAATAGAATTTGCGTGGTTTATCTGATGAGATTACTTGAAAGGTGATTACGAATATCAGAACCATCCGCAGAAATATATTTGCCAAGGGTTACGGCAGTGCACGACGATTTCTATCTCAAGAAGCATAATGCGGGATGTTGTCACTACATCTCGACGAAAACACCCTAATAGTGCGATTGCTAATTAGTTTTGTAAGCAGTTTTGTAGTTTAGTTTTGTAAGCATGTCGTCGGCTACCAGAGAGCACTGCAATCGTGCGTTTTACTGTAAGGAAATACTACTCTATTATAAACTGCTATCACTGCAGTGTGACCCTAGGGAACGTTCATCCAATCTTGAGTAGTTCTGAGCAATTTTGGGAAGCCTTAAAATAAACGATGGGAGTCTTGGTTAAAGGTTTCAATCGCGAGCATAAATTCCAAAAACTTGAGCAGCAGAACTAGCAAAATTTTTGTCAACAACGTTGAATTCCACATACCCCCGCCTGAGTGAGCTTTCCTTTGCCCTCAACATCCATAAACTTGAACTGTCGACTGTGCGAATATGGCTCGACATTAAGCATTTCCAAATTGAATGTCAACCAGTGTTCATCGTTTGGAATGTTCTTCCATACTAGAATAAGTAAGATGAAAAGCTCAGATTTGAAGGACTCACTTTGTTAACAGAAGCTACACATTCGCCGGAAAAAGTATCTACCTTTGCTCTTCGCTTTCCTGCTGAGCCGATAGGGCACTTGGAGCTTCCTTAGTTCTTCGGCACACATGCCTTTTAAACCCTATTGAATAGGAAATTAGCCTCAAAAAACACTATTTAACCATTGATGCCAACCTTGTCCAAGCCAGGCATAGCCATACCGACTCCTAATTGCATTGTAACTGGCTGCTCGTTGTAAGTTTGATAGACCTTCTTTCCATTTTCGGTGAACACCTGATCGGGAATTAATGAATTTTGTTATAAGCATGTCATGGTCATTTTGATGAGTTCCAAAACAAAGCTTTTTACTTTGTAGTGGAATGTGATGAAGTCCTTCCTTTTCGCCGGC